TTTAATGAAAAATTCAAAGATACAAATAAGGTACATATTATTGGATTAGTATTGAGTAAATATATCAAGTTATATCAGTTTTGTTTGTAGATTATTAATGTTAATATTGATATGAAAATTACATTATTATAATTATTTACTAAATATATTTTTTTAATGTGAACTTTGTGAAATTTCTAATTTTTGTTAGAACTTAAGATCAACATTTAAGTTAGCATCTCGATTAATTATAAAATAGACAATTTCTTGAAGATTTAATTTTAGAATAAACATTGTACGTAATTAATTCTCTAGAATATGATAAATCAATTTTTTTTATATGATCATTTTTTAACTAATTACAATAATTATGTGTCTAATTGATAATTGGAGTAGTTAATCATGATTCTAATGCTAATTTTGAAATTATGAATAAAATTGAGCCTAATCTAATTTTATTAATGGTGTTAGAACCGGACCAGACACAAAATTAGATAGGTATTCGGATCACGGTTAGATTGGTTCAACCTGTTCAAACCGAGTTTTTTATTATAATATTTTAAAATTTTAAAATATTGCATTTTTCAGCATATATTTTTAGTTGTATAACTTAATTATTCCTTTAAATAAAGGAGATAATTTTAAAGTATTAGAATTTAAAATACAAATTAAATTGTGTTTGAGGTGTAAATGTTACAATGGGTATACTTTAGGGGTGTAAACTTTATTTAATCCTTTTTGAATTTACATGAACAAAAATAATGGAAAAAATAGTGAAAAGGGAAATGTAGAAAGTGATAAAAAAAAAAATGGAATGAATTGACGTTGTTTGATTGGAAGTTGTAATCTGGCATTTAATACATTGACCTTTGGAATTATGGTAATTAAATTGTAGAGAGAGAAAAAGGTTAAATTATTAGAAATAATCAATATTAATTAAAGGACAACATAGTAATTGAACATAATATTTTTTCAGTAAAATTTACGGAATTAGCCTTTTTGGCCGGCCAGATTCTGGCCACAAGGCTTTATCGTTCTTTTAATTACCTAATTATTATGTCATATTTATGTCATAGTCTTTGTTTTATACAAGAATAAAATATTCAAATGCTATTTATTTATGCAATATATGAAGTAATCTACTAGGAAATATTGATGGTCTAACCAATAATTATGAATTATGGTCACGTACCCAGAATTATGGATTAAAAGTTCAAACAAATTCAACAAATGAGTGGAAATCCAACTCCATAAACTTTTAGCTTATGGAGTCCAACCTTATTAAAGTTGTACTCGCAAAAGCTTTTAGAAAGTGATTCTTAGCTTAGAATTACTTTTGAAGTGTTTCTTATGTCAAATTTCGCTTCTATTTCGCTAAAAAATAAGTTGTTTTAAACTTTAATTTGAAAAACATTCCTATACCTTTTTCCTTTTTTTTTATTTTTTTTTTATTTTTTTTTTATATTTAAGTTGATTTTTCAGCATAACAAACACCCCAACTTTTAAAAATAAACATTTAATACCAACTTAACTCACAAATACAAAATTTTACTTTTAAATAAGTCTTTGCAAACACCACATAATTAAAGCTTAATGATCCATGCCCATATCAAATTAATTACAAATAATAGTTCTAAATCTTCAATCATGTGATTATAAAAAAATAAAATAAATAAACCAAAAGATCTCATGAAATGTATCCAAAAAAAAAACTTCTTTTATATTTTCTACAAATACATAGTTTCCCTTAAGAACTCTCAAATCCTTCCCTTTTTTTTTTCATTCTTTGAAATACATTACTTAAATAAAACAATCCTATACATAATAATGTAATAATAAGACAATTGTATAGATGACAATATTTAATACTACTAGGAATTAATTATAATAATTAATTACTTATACAAGTGCTATTATAAACTTGGGTCCTATGTATCTTGTCATATTTATCAGACAAGACAACCAAACATTGGAGTTGATGATGAAATTTAGGTTGGAATATTCCCCAAATTACATGAAAACTTGATCTTAATTTAACTTTAACAAGCAAAGGCAATCCTTGACCAGATTCTAGCAAGTCTTGCATGTTTCTTCCTGCACCATACATTGCCTTATTTCTTGTCCCAATTTTGAAATTGAATATTGTTGTCTCATCACTTTCTGCATATACTTCTCCACCCTCCATCTTTAATTGCCAAAACAAAAATAAATTAAATAGCATATATATTTTTTTATCACAAATTAAAAGCAGGTAAATTTTTTTAAAATGTAAAATATATATACTACTACTAATTAATTTAATTTTATTTACATAGATATATACAAAATGCA